AGAGAGAGAGAGAGAGAGAGAGAGAGAGAGAGAGAGAGAGAGAGAGAGAGAGAGAGAGAGGGAGGGAGGGAGGGAGTGAGGGAGTGAGGGAGGGAAGGAGGGCGAGGGAAACAAGGAAGCCTCGGTGCAAAGATAGACTGGACGTGAGACGCTTCCGAAGATTAAGAGCTTTTTACGTTTTGTAATAGTGGAAAGCTGTCATGCGTACACTCTCTGAGAGTAAGGGGTGACTGAACTGTATTGCTCGGTGGAACGTAGTTTGGGCTGAAGGACTATAGTATTAACCGTTTTCTTTGTATTGGATGTGGTGTTAGAATGCTGAGTGATGTTGAGAAAGTGAACGTAGTCCAGAAGCGGGTTTAAACTCTCCACCGTGCAGAGCAAGGAAAGGTCAATCGCTGCATTTACGTCCTTCCCTTCGGTTCAGGGGTAGTAACCGAATGGTATGGGCGTAATTAAACTCTCCACTGACGTTGAGAAAGTGAACGCAGTCCAGAACTGGGTTTGATGCATGTTTTCTTCCTTTCTTTGGGATGGCTGTAATTAAGAGTGCTTATTGTTCCATGAATGATTCTTCCTTTTTTCGGGCAACCTGTCTTCTGGAATTAGTGCTTATTGGCCTTGAAAGTAGGGAATTGGTGTGTAGGTCTGCCTAGCAAGCAACGGAGGGAAGCAAATTCTTAGTGTTATACCACCCAGCCACAGTTGTGGTAAAACTGATTTATAGCTTCGAAACTTTCCTGTTCAAATGTCAGAGAGGCGGCGATTTGTTTCCTTTTTTAATAAAGGATTGTAGAGATGAAAGTTAATGAAACACATTTCTGAAGCGGTCTATTTATATAGAAGGGTCTCTGCGGTCCAGGTACGATCTTCAATTGGAATGCCTGTTAGACAGCAGCAAATTGACATACGTTGCTATTGTTGCACTCGATAGTATATTGTTTGGAATCTTCAGATGGTATAATCACCATGAAGGTGGATTTTGTTTTTCAGTCTTCATTTTTCTCTTTTCCCTTGCATGTTAGTTTCCTGACCATGAAGAGATTGGTTTTGGTGGCACCCAGAACTGCTTTTGCCCCTCAGCCTGTGAGTACGTGTGTGTGTGTGTGTGTGCGTGTGTGTGTGTGTGTGTGTGTGTGTGTGTCTGTGTGTGTATGGGTGTGCATGCGTGCGCGGGTGTGTGTGCCTCTGTGTGTGTGTGTGTGTGTGTGTGTGTGTGTGTGTNTGTGTGTGTGTGTGTGTGTGTGTGTGTGTGTGTGTGTGTGTGTGAGAGAGAGAGAGAGAGAGAGAGAGAGAGAGAGAGAGAGAGAGAGAGTACGAATGCAAGCTTTTAATTGGTCAGCATAATGTGCACAGATGCACAAGTCAATGTGAGGTTGAGATGCATAAGAAAGAAAAATCAATATAAGCTCGACTTGAAGCAGTGGCTACCAGCAGACCAATACATGCGAAGTTACAACTATATCTCAGCTCACCTTTCCATTGCCCTAAACCACCAGTACATCCAGCTATCGGCCGCGGGCCCTTTTCGGAGGCTGCCTGCTGCCGATTGGATTTATCTGTGGCGCGGGGCCTCCGGAAATTTTGTAGGTGAAGAGTCTTCTTTTCAGCATGGCTTGGGCCGTGTACTGGCGGTTTTAACCACCACTACCCCTGTGTTAAATTGGTAAATTGATCAGTCACAAAAACGAGGACAGAAATAATGCAAGCACACCAACCATGTGGAGAGCAACAAGACTCAGGAGTAAATGCCAATACAGTCGACATGAGCCAGAGAAGAGACGAGAGGATATAGACAGTGACACGAGACTTCTCCCCAACACAACCTCAATGGGTCAGACATTTAACCATGATAAACACCCATTGTCAGCTGGCGTCGTGTAATAATGGCTGACAGTATGCTGACCGTCGTCAGTTTCCTCTGAGCCCGTGTGTATCTGGAGCAAGACAGCAGCACGACCCTATGCCGCGTTTCGACTGGACCCCTGCGCTGCGGGCCTAAAATGGACTTTCCTGGCCGCCGGGGAGCAGGCAGGTCCGGTCCAAGATTTTTCAAGTGCGAACTTTGGCAATTTTTTGCGCTCAGAAACATTGGCAGAAAAATGATATTTTGATATCCTGTAGATTCGGCCGTGATCTTTCCAGGAAAAATATCAAAAAAATGAAAAAAAAAAAGAAGACGGTAAAGTAAATGCGGGGCCGTTTTGTCACATTTTCCATTTTTGCTACTGCACCACGTATGGGCCAACGGAAAAAGTAACCCAACTTTCACGATTTTTTGGGATCGGAAGGATGACCCAACAACGCTGAAAGTTCGGGGGTCTGTAGATTTTGTCAAGATCTTTACAGTAACAATATTTAAAAAAATAATAACAAATCATTTAAACGGCGAAATAAATTGTGGGGGTAATTTGACGCATTTTTTAATTTGCCACTCCGCCAGTTCCTCACACTGTGCTACCGATAGCCCTCATGGACGTTTTTTTTTTTTTGGGGGGGGGAAGGGGGGGGGGGGGAAGCTCCAGTCTATTCGTGGGGAGCAACACGTGCTGGGAACCGGGCCCAGCGTCCCGTATAGCATTATACAAATGATTTGAAATACCAGGGCCATTACCTGGCTTCGGCTAAGAACAATCTGAGAACTATGAAAAGTATTCTAGAAAATTTAGGAAAAACATGGATAACTGCTAAGTTTAACCTATTGCTAGGCTACTCAAGCAGCACATTTATTAAGTCAAAACGGAAAACGGAGAAGCCCTTTGAATGCTCAGAACCCCTGGAATCCCCAACGAAACATTCTAAAATTCTCTAACGCCTCATGCCCCCATCCTGCTAGGTTACAGGACAACACAACTCACCCCAGCTAGCGTCGTACCGACAGCAACCCTTGGTTTCCCCTTGGAATGCTCGGCCCAAGGCATCCCCAGATCTCTCTACCAGGCCTCACGCTCCTGCTATCAACAGATTACAGGGCAATCCCCCAGCTCCAGCCAGCGTTGTTCGTGCATCGAAACACTGCAGATCCATGAATCTAACAGCATTAAAAAGAACCAAAAATGAGTTGCAAGAGGTGTCCAGAATCCTAAGGCATGCTCAAGACTTTCCTCATGAGATAGGCTAAAATTCAGAAAAAATCTGAGAAGGCTTGGAAAAATATGAGAGCGGGTGGTCAAAACTGAAACTGCCTACTATCCAAAAATCCCCCCCTCAATAGACGGAACGTGGGGCCCGGCTTTCAGTCCTCGTACCAGAACTCACTTGATCTCAGACCCCCTTCTGCTAGGTTAACAGGGCACCACAACCTTCCCCAGTACTGACCAACCTACACGTAGTTCTGACGGACAGGAAGTGCCTTCCTCCCTCCACATTTCCCTTAGCAGCAAGCCCCTGACACAGGTTACAGGGTTAATACCCGGGCGCCGGCTACGTTGAACGGTCTGGTTATACCTTCCACCCTCGGCATAACTCCACAGGCCTCAAGCTCCCCCTAGGTTACAGAGCAAAAGCTCTAGCACCGGCCTGTGTCGTCTCAGCATCGTCCTTCTAACCTAATTACCTTTACAAACAACCTTCCTCTGTTGAGAGCCCCCTTACCACCTTCCATCCTCCAGTTCTAGCTCCCCCCCCTTCCGTCCTTTTTGTGAGATACCAGGGCCATTACCTGGCTTCGGCTAAGAACGAACAGCTCAGAACCCCCCCAACAATCCTCTTTACCTCACTCCGGCAAGACTTACTGCAGCAGAGCCACCATCTCCACTGATGCTGTGCCCTATTTCCATCCTATGAGCTAGCCCCCTCGCTAGTAGGACGTCTGATATCCCACCATCTACTTCTACCACTCACAGCTCTCAAGAACATATTGAAAAATCAGGAAATCAGAAGATTGAGAAAACCCTATACACGTTTCAGTGCCTATTATTTCCACAAGAAGAGGGGAAGGGAGGGAAAAAACCACCCTCTCTCCCCATGGAAACTCCAGCGCATATTCTAATCTTGATTGCATGTACAAGGCTCACAAGAACCAAAACGGATTACTCCTCTCCCTAAAAAAACGACCCCTGTTTGATACTACTTCCGCAGGGAAGCCCCCCCTCACCTCCCAGCCCCAGTTCGGAACAGCCCCCTAAATGTCACTCCTGCTCCCTCAGCTGCTTACAATACCCCCTAAAGTATGTCCCACAGAGCCAAAGATTCCCCTTCCCTCCTGCCCCACCCCCTTCAAGTGAAACAGTCGTACAACATCTCACCATGCTGACATCAGCAGATTCAGCACCCCTTGTCCTCTCTCCCCAACCGCAATAGCTGATCCGACCCAAAAATCAGTGTGGCCCAGAAAAGGACAAACCCTCAACACCGCACCTCCCTCTCAAAGATCATACCACCCACCTTGTGTAACCCTCACAGGGAGGGGCTCCAACCCTAAAGGAGATGTTTCCATTCAGATTCAATAGTAAAAAACAGATGGAATGGTTATTGAGACATCAGAACTAAGTCCAATTTTTGAAAACTCGCAACTCAAGATCAGACAATCATTTGATTGTTTTCCTAACCGAAGCCGGGTAATGGCCCCGGAACTTCAATGATGTTCTATATTCTCAGTTGTACTTCAAAGGCACGCCGAGCCTGGGTCTCAGCACGTGATGCTCCCTACGAATAGATTGGAGCTTTTGTCCCCCCCCCCCCCCCCCCCCCCC